GGCGTGAGTTTTAGGCTACGGGGTCGGGGACACGAACCACAGTCGACTACGTGGGAGTCCAGCGACATAGCCATTATGCTAACTGCTGGTCCCAACAATCAATATTCTTAAATGTTCCCTTTGCCAAACCTATTTACCATGTGACTAGGGATGTTGGTAATTTTTTTTTTTTTTTTAGAATTATTTTATTTAACTTTATTTCTTTATTTTAATTTAACCAGAGAGGGAAAGTGAGAAAGCAAGCCACCAAGTCCAGGACTTGAACCATGGTTGACCATGTGGGAGTCCAGAGCCCCCCAGCCACCACAGCACCTGCCGGCCCCTAATTTCGGCAAATCTTGAATTGAGAAAGAGTATTGTAGAAGGTTCTTATCACTTATGTACCAGTAAGGCAAAAGTCACTATGATTAAATTCTGTAGTTACATGTCATTATCTGTCACATCTATTACAGATTAGTTAGAATATATTTTATACATGTATAATTAAGTCTGTTATTCTTAGAGCAAAATGTGACCAAAAGTAATTTTTTGATATTGTATAATGTGTCACAATTTTGCATGCCAATAGCTGCTTTACTATGAAGAAAACATAAAATAATTTTTAAGAACTGGAACCAAAAATCTGTTAACTTGATATAAGCCATATGGCATGTAGAAACCAACGTTTAACAACCTACATTTAAAGGGGGCCAATTGGTCATCCTTCAGGTCCTAAGTGAGGGCATGCCACAGGCTCCAGGCCACAGAGGCAAAGACGTGGACCCCATCCCAACTGCCCCTGCAAGTCCCAGGCGCCATCAGACCCCTTCTCACGGACTTGAGAGGGTGGTAGGGTACATAGACAGCCAGAAGCTCAGAAAGGTAGGTTGTGATGCCAGCAAAAGAGCTTCTTGTCTCAAGATGGACTGTGGTCACTACATTTGCCTTAGGGGAGCAGGGGAGGGAACGTGGGTAGGTAGATTCCCCATGCAGAGAAATGCCACTGAGCGAAAGTGGAAAACCTGTGGAACATCTGGTCTGAATTCTGTCCCAGGGTTGATGCATCTTCTTCTCTTGATAGTTTCCAGCAGCTAACTCTGGGCAGTCTTGCAAACTAAATACTAGATTGCCTCCCTGTGATCTTTGTGAGTATTAAGATCCTCTTCAGTCTGTCTTCCCATCCCATCTTCTCCTATTTCCTCCCAATGATAATTTAGTGTTGTCATCCTGTTCCTTAAACGGCCCTAGGTGAGGGTTCAGCTGTTTGTGTAGTCTATGCCAAGTTCTCAGGTCTCCTGAGGAAGAGGAGTAGGTGAATCGGGTAGAACTTCTGTCCCAGGCTCAGGCAGGGAAATGGATATGGTCATAGGAGGTGGGGACTGATTTCCTAGCTGACCAGGAGCAGTGGACCCTGGCCCCTTCTCAGGTTCTCTCTGCTGATTAGGTGCCAGGTGGGGGGTACCACTAAGAGTGATGAGAACTGGGTGTGGGCACATTCCATTTTTCTTTATGTGAACTTGTCTGTGCCCACCCTGCCCTATTTCAGGAGAAGAAAAAGACCTCGCAGTTGACACCTCAGCGGGGCTTTAGTGAGGATGATGATGACGACTCCTCTGAAACTGATTCCGATGAAGACGACGATGAGGAGGAGCATGGAGCCCCTCTGGAAGGGTGAGGAAAGACCCCTTGCCAAGCACACCCAAGCCAGGGAGGAAAGCTCCTTCCAGACACGGGCCTGGGAGGACTCAGTTCAAAGCAAAATTTCAGCATCTCTTTGGAGTCTCAGCTGTTCAGGAAGCACGTAGTGAGTGTTCGCTCCTTTCTGGCTCTGCTGCCAACTGTAGTCCTGCAGTGTCACTTGTACCCTAAAATGTTTGTAGGCTGAGGGGATTATGTGAGATTTCACTGAATAAATCTAAAAAATGCTCCCCACTGTCAGGAGCTCAGTTTTGAGAAAGAAGAAAGACATTTGTACATGTGCCAAAGCCGTTCTGTTGGGCAGGGAGAACAGTATACATGCACACCCGCACACCCGTACACCTGCACTTTTATTTTAGACTCAAGTTCCTTTGGACAGAAAATCAAAATCCTGTTGGGTCTTTTTTTTTTTTTTTTTAGAGAATTATTCATTCAGTTTTATTTATCATCATTATTGGATTTTTTTTTTTTTTTAAATTTGCTACAGGGCATGCACACTCACAGAGAGAAACAAAGAGAAAGCGAGAAAGGCAGAAAGCAAGCAAGCAAGCAAACAAGCAAGCAAGCAAGCTAGCTAGCTGCCAGGTCCAGGACTTAAATCACAGTCAGCCATGTGGGAGTCCAGTGCTTTAACCACATCACCCACTGACTCCCGTCAGGATTTTGAGCACACATGCTTCATGCCCTGTGTGTAGTTTTTAAGAGATATTTTTGCTGTAGGGTGTGTGCACTCACCAGAGAGACAGAGAGACAGAAAATGAGAAGTCACCTTTTGAGGGGATGGCCACACCGCAATCCTTTCTCCTCCATTCTCCTCTTGGGATTTTGGGTACATATGCACATGTGCCCTACATGAGTTTTAAGCCACTGGGTCCGATACTTGATCGTAGTCAATTACGTGGAAGTCCAGTGATGTAATTGTTATACCATCTGCTGGTCCCAGCCCAGTGTGTTTTGCAAGCCGCTGGATCCAGGACTGAACCATGCAGGTGGCTATGTAGGATCTGGCTCCCTTAACCAGGCCACAAGGCAAGGCAAGAAATTATTGGGTTGTGGGAAAAGTCATGATATACTTTTTTATTTTTTCTATGGAAAGATGCATCATGACTTTTCCAATGATCCAATAAAAATCTCTTATTTTATGGGCCAGCCCCATAGCCTAGTGGCTAAAGGAGTCAGATCCTACATGGCTGACCATGGTTCAAATCCCAGCCCCAGTGGCTTGTAGAACATGCTGGGTGTGTGTGTGCATGCACATGCATGCCCCAAATCCCAGCAGGATGGAGACATGGAGGAGAAGGGATTGTGGCGTGACCTTGCCCCCCGTTCGTGGAAAACAATCTCTTATTCTAAAGTTTATATATGTATTTCTTCCATGAGTGACAGGGACAGAGAGAGACAGAGACAGCACTGCCAATAGGGTTCAAGGCCAAGGGCCACCTGCAGTGTACTCAGGGCCCATCACAAACCTAGGATCTTCCCAGTGGGTCAGCCTGACAGAGCATCATGCGTTATCACTGCCCCAGCCAGTCAGAACTGCCTTTCAAGTCGCCTTGGAAGCCACGAGGAAAGGCAGGTGTGGGACGGGCAGAAGCACAGTTCAGGGTCCCATCCCTGTGTCAGAGTGACACATGGGCTAGCCCAGACCCTGTTACTACATTGCCTGGAACTTCCGCTCTTCAGGGCCTATGATCCTGCGGATTATGAGCATTTGCCAGTTTCTGCGGAGATCAAAGAACTCTTCCAGTACATCAGTCGGTAAGTGTTAGACCTCTCACCCTCCCTGCCTCCCCAGACTTTTCCTCCTGCAGTCTGAAATGCGGCCATTCTCTCTGAATGTTTTTTTTTTAGCCTGGAGGATAACATACATTTTTTTTCTATCTTTTCTTTCTTCCTTTCTCTTTCTTCCTTTCTTTTTTTTTTTTTATTTTTTTATTTAGCAGTAGGATGTGTGTCTTTGCCAGAGAGAGAAAAAGAGAGAAGTACATCCTTCTCCCCAAAGGGATGGCCACACCACAGTCCCTTATCCTTCTTTCTCCTCTCAGGATTTTGGGCATGCACGCACACATACCCTGCATGTTTCAAGCTGTCAGATCCAGGACTCAAAGCACACAGTTGGCCCTGTGGGATCCAGCCACCTTAACTGCTGTGACATTGGCTGGCCCCAGTCAAAAAATTTCTCTGACTGTTCCACCCTCATCTGGCAATGTCTCCTAGGTACACACCTCAGTTGATCGACCTGGACCACAAACTGAAACCTTTCATTCCTGATTTTATCCCAGCTGTGGGGGATATTGATGCATTCTTAAAGGTACAGTCAGTATGTTTTAAAAATAATTCTACTGACCCTTCTGTTACTCTTTTTTTTTTTTTTTGAGCAATTCTTGCTATAGGGCACATGCGTTCGCCAGAGATTGAGAGAGACATAAAGTGAGAAATCAGCCTCCCAGGGATGGCCATGCCACAGTCCATTCTCCTCCGTTCTCCTCTTGGGATCTTGGGCACACATACACATGTCCCTGATATGAGTTTGAAGCCACTGGGTCTGGGACTTTAACCATGGTCGGCCATTTGGGAGTCCAGTGACCCCATCTGCTGGCCCCATACTCTTAACAGTCCCTCCAGTTAATCTGACTAGCACAGGCTACCTGCTAAATAGTCTTCAGTCATTGGAGTTTTTTTTTTTTTTTTGGATTTTTGCTATAGGGTGCATGTGGTTGCCAGAAAGACAGAGAAAGACAGAGAGACAGAAAGCAAGAAATCACCCCCCCAGGGGGGATGGCCATGCCACAATTCCTTTTCCTCCATTCTCCTCTCGGGATCTTGGGCATGCACGCTCACGCACCTGGCGTGAGTTTAAGCTACCAGGTCCGGGACTCGAACTGTGGTCTACTACATGGGAGTCTAGCGACATAGCCATTACGCCAACTGCTGATCTCGTCATTGGAGTTCTTAACTTAGCTCTTTTCACTAAATTATCTTCTTTGCTCATAAGTAATATGTTATTTTCTCCCTAGATATTAAAAACTTGTGGGGCCGGCAGGTGGCATGGTGTTTAAGGGGACTGGACTCCCACATGGCTGACCGTGGTTTGAGTCCTTGACCTTTCTTTCTGGTCAAATAAATAAATAAAGTTAAATAATTCTTTGAAAAAAATAAAAAACAAACAACTTGTCATGAGTTTGCCTTCATAATTTAGTTTCTATAGATCATGCATTTTTTTAAAGATAGTATTTAGTACAGGGACCAGCAGTTGGCGTAGTGGCTATGTCACTGGACTCCCATGTAGTTGACCACGGTTTGAATCCTGGACCCAGTAGCTTAAACTCACGCTGGGCATGTGTGTGCGCATGCCAAGATCCTGAGAGGAAAATGGAGGAGAAGGGATTGCGGTGTGGCCATCCCCTCTGGGGGGGCTGGGGGGGGATTTCTCACTTTCCGTCTCTCTGTCTCTCTGTCTTTCTGGCGAGCGCATGCGCCCTGTAGGAAAAACCTCTCCAAAAAAAAAAAGACAGTATTTAATATAGCATGAGAAAGAAGCAGGCTTTTAGGCTTTTAGTACAAGAAACAGCCACAAACGAGAAGAGTTCTTCCTCTTCAGCATATCGGAAAAGAGCAGCATGGTCTTGTTATAGCCCTCCCAGTTTTCCCTGTTTTCTGACCTTTTTCTTAATCAGGTTCCACGTCCAGATGGCAAGCCAGACAACCTCGGCCTGCTGGTACTGGATGAACCTTCTACAAAGCAGTCAGACCCCACCGTGCTCTCCCTCTGGTTAACGGAGAACTCCAAGCAGCACAATGTCACGGTAAGACACTAGGCTCCGCCCAGCCTTGGGGTGCAGGCCATGCTGAACTGCAGAGCTGGAGGCTGCTTGGCCCTGGTGGGATCAGCTCCTCAGGCAACCTGAGGGCATACCTAGCATGTCCATGCCAGGATCCTGATGAGCTGGAGGGCCAGGGAGGGCGGTCCTGTGTGACAAGACCCTGCCAAAGGCTCTGTCCACTCACATGCATGCACTCTCTTTCTCTCTCCCTCCCTCCTTTTTTGTCTTGTGTACATTCTCTCATGAATAAAAGTAAGCAAAATTTAAAAAAGAAGCAGATCCAAGGCCAGCAGGTGGGATGGTGGTAAAGGTGCTGGACTTCCATATAGCTTACTGCAGTTTGAGTCCAGAACCAGGCAGCTTGAAAATCACACCAGGCACCTGTGCGTGCATGCCCAAAATCCCAAGAGGAGAATGGAGTAGTGTGGCCATCACTGGGGGTGATTTTTGACTTTTCCTCTCTCTGTGTCTCCAGCACGTACATGTGCTCTACAGCAAAAACCTAGAAAAACAAAAACAACAAAGAAAGATTGTCGTCTAGTACAGGCTACCAAGAGCAGAAGCCTCACTGGCATTCATACAGTTGGCTGTCATAAGGGACAGTGGGCCCTGCGTGGTGGTGCCGCCACTCAGATGCCATGCTCTGCAGGCTTGGACCATGTGGGAGGCCTAGGTTTGATTCCTGGTCTAACTGAAGCCAGGCGCGGTGGTGTGTATACCTGGGGGACATGGACTGAGGAAGATAACGCAGGAGGATTTCTTTCTTTTTTTTTTTTTTTAAATAATTATTTTATTTAACTTTTTACGCCTTTAACCACCATGCTACCTGCCGGCCCCAATGCAGGAGGATTTCAACCCTGTCTAAAAAATTAAAAAAGAAGATAGCTCTAGGGCCAGCAAGTGGCGTGGTGGTTAAGGCACTGGACTCCCACATGGGGGACCGTGGTTCAGATCCTGAACCTGGCAGCTTACTTTCTCACTTTCTTTCTCTCTCTCTCTGGTGAGTGTGCCTGATAGCAAATTTAAAGATTGTAATGATGATAAATAAAAATAACTTTTTTTTTTTTTTTTGGAGAGGTTTTCGCTGTAGGGCACATGCGCTCGCCAGACAGACAGAGAGAGACAGAGAGACAGAAAGCGAGAAATCACCCCCCAGGGGGGATGGCCACGCTGCAATCCCTTCTCCTCCATTCTCCTTTCGGGATCTTGGGCATGCACACACACGCGCCCGGAGTGAGTTTAAGCCACCGGGTCTGGGATGCGAACCACGGTCGACTACATGGGAGTCCAGCGACATAGCCATTACACTAACTGCTGGTCCCAATAAAAATAACTTTTAAAAAAATGGTTCTGACTTAGGCTGGCCCCATTTTTTTTTTTTTTTAAATTTGAATAGAGAGGGGCAGAGTGATAGAGAGAGAGGGAAAGTGAGAAAGCAAGCTGCCAGATACAGGACTCAAACCTTGGTCGGTCACGTGGGAGTCTAGCTCCCTTAACCACCACACCACTTGCTGGCCCCAAGGCTGGCCCCATTTTTTAATGACAGCTGTACTGAGATGTAATTTACATACCATAAAATTCATCTTTTAGGGGCTGCCATGTGGCATGGTGGTTAAGGGTGTTGGACTCCCACATGGTTGACCATGGTTTGAGTCCTGGACCTGGTGGCTTGCTTTCTCATTTTCTCTCTCTCTCCCTCTCTCTCTCACTCTGTCCCTCTCTGGTCAAATCTTAGAAAAATATAATAAAGATAAATTAATTCTTAAAAAAATTCACCTTTTAAATTGCACAATTTATTTTTGTGAGTATGTTAGGGCCACCACAGATTCGTGCAGCATCACCTTTGCCTCATGCAGAACATTTCCATCCCTGCACAGGGATACCCCAGACCTCACAGTGGTCACCCTCGCCTCCCTGTCTCCTACACCCTGGCAACCACTTCATTCTTCTCTTTTCTTTCTTTTTTTTTTTTGGTACAAAAAATATTTTACATCCATGCATAGTTTTTGTTGTTGTTTTAGAGATTTTTTGCTATAGGGCACATGTGCTTGTCAGAGAGACAGAGACAGTCAGAAAGCGAGCAATCACCCCCCCTCCGGGGGCGGGGAGATGGCCACACTGCAATCCTTTCTCCTCCACTCTTTCAGGATCTTGGGCACGCATGCACACATACCCGGCGTGAGTTTTAAGTCACCGGATCTGGGCCTTGAACCACAGTCGACTATGTAGGAGTTGAGCAATGTAACTGTTACACCATCTGATGGTCCCTGTAGTTTTTTCTTTTTGTTTTGTTTTGTTTTGTTTTCAGTGTCAGTAGGTCTTTATTCATTGTATTTTTCTGGGAAAGGAGAGGGGAAGGGAAGGGTCAACATGTGTGTTACAAAATGATTGGAAAACAGGAAAAGAAATACCCAGTACAGCAAAAGGAACCAACTAACAAACACATCCAAAGGGGCTTTTTCTTCAGCAGTTCGGGAATGAGGGAAAGGGATCAGGGAAAGAACAAATAGGTACTAGTTTTCCTATCCTCCCTCCCCATAAATTCAAGATTTCACACAAACTTTGGCTTAGCAGAAAACATGCTGTTCCATTCATTAAACAATGTTGCCGTTACATTCATTAAACAATCTTCTTAATCTGTTACATTCATTAAACATTCTATTAAACAATCTTGTCATTTTTACAAAAGTTTCTTATAACAGCATCAATATTCCTTTTTTTTCTTATGCCAAAATAATCCATGGCATTACTATACCACATTTTGTTCATCCATTTACTAGTTGCTCCTACTTTTTTTTTTTTTTTTCTTTTTTAGTTTTCTATAGGGAGCATGTGCCAGAGAGAGAGAGAGAAAGAAAGGAAAATTAAGAAATTAGTCCATACTACAGTCCCTTCTCCATTCTCTTAGGATTTTGGGCATTCACTTACATGTGCATGGCATGATTTTCAAGCTGCTGTGTCCAGGACTTGAACCACATAGCTGGCCATGTGGGATTCAGCTGCCTTAATAGTTGCTTCTACTTCTGTTAATAATGTTGCTATGAATATCTTTTCAAGTTTGTGTGTAGGCACATGTTGCTTTTCTAGGAATGGAATTGCAGCCATGTGGTAACTTTAACCACTGGAGGCACTGCCCAGCTGTTTTCCAGAGCCACTGCCCCACAGTTACAGTCCCATCAGCAGTGAACGAGAGCTCGAGTTTATATCTTTACAACACTTGTTCTTATCCATCTTTTTTTGGTTCTAGCCATTCTAATAGATGTGAAAATAGTATTTCACTATGGTTCATCCTGCCCTGTCGACCTTCCCATGGCTCCAGCAGAGTGTATCAGGGTTTCCTGTCACTTTCATTTGACTACTGTCAGCGTTTCTGCTCCTTGGCTGCCTTGTACATGCTGTAACAGCAGATGTGATCAAAAGAGAGAGAGAGAGCTGTTACAGTGCTATCATGGTTTGCACTATGGTTTGTCCCCCAACATTTCATGAGTTGGAATTTGGTATGGGGGGGTGATGAGGCCTAGCAGGCGGTGATTGGTTCATGGCGATTGCATCATGGAGGTCCACTCTGCAAAATCCAGTGAGTTGTCAATCTCTTGAGAAGTGGTTAGTTTCTCTCAAGAGCAGGTTGCTGCAGAAGAGAGAGCTGCCTGCCCATCAGGCTGTCTCTGCACATGTCTGCCATCTTCTGGCATGGCTCCCATTGGCCCTGCCATAGGCCTATGCCTTTGGGCTCTAGCCACCAGAATTGCGAGTTTTGCAAATACACTTCTTTGACATTCACCCTGTCTCAGGCACTTGTTAGTGGTGTAAAATGGACTAAGACAAATGCCATCAGCCAGACTTTTTCTGCATTTTTTTTAGCAACATATGAAAGTGAAGAGCCTTGAAGATGCAGAAAAGAACCCCAAAGCCATTGACACGTGGATAGAGAGCATCTCTGAGTTGCACCGTTCCAAGCCCCCTGCGACCGTGCACTACACCAGGTAAGAGAGGCCATGGTCACCGTAGTAGCCCACAGTAGCCTCTGTCACCGTGAACCATTGCTGTGAGAAGAGCCCCAGAGGCTCAGGACATGTGTGATCGGACAGGTCTGGCTCAGACTGCAGATCCGAAGGCAGCTATTGCTCTGGTATCTTCCCTGCTCGTGGAGCTCCTCCAGACTCCGCGCCCCAGGGCAGTTTGGTTTGCTCAGTCTGGGTTCTTCTGAAATCCTCATGTGCCAGGTGGAGGGTTACCCTTCCAGATGATCCTGATGTCCAGGTTGCTGAGCTCATAGTTCATTGTTCACTTTCCTCTGTGCTTTTAGGCCCATGCCCGACATCGACACATTGATGCAGGAATGGTCACCTGAGTTTGAAGAACTTTTGGGCAAGGTGAGTGAAAGGTAGGAGGGAATAAAGTATGACTTTTGGGGCTAGCAGGTGGCATAGTGGTTAAGGTGCTGGACTCCCACGTGACTGACCATGGTTTGAATCCAGAACCTGGAGGCTTGTTTCCTCACTCTCTTTCTCTTTCTTTCTATCTCTGTTTCGCTATCTCTTTCTAGTAGGCACACATATCCTACAGAAAATTTTTTAAAAACATAATAATACATAAAATTAAAAAAAAGGAAGTATGGCTTTCAATCTAGAGTCCAGTGTTTTCTCTCTCCTTATATGTTACTAGCTTAATAAATTTTTACTCAGGGGACCAGCAGGTGGCGTAGTGGTTAAGGCGCTAGACACTCCCATATGGCCAACCATGGTTCAGGTCCTGGACCTAGTGGCTTGCTTTCTCACTTTCTCTCTCTCTTTGGTCAAATTAAAATAAAATAAATGAATAAATAAAATAAAAAAAATTATTTGAAGCATAATATCCAATACAAAATATACAAATACTAGCGCCAGTAAGTGGCATGGTTGTTAAGGTGTTGAACTCCCATATGGCTGACCTGGATTTGAGACCCAGACCTGGCAACTTGAAAATCATGCCATGTGTGTGTGGGTGTGTGTGGATGTGCATGCACGCACACATGCATGTGCCCAAAATCCCAAGGGGAGAATGGAGGAGAAGAGATTGCAGTGTGGCCATCCCCTGAGGGGTGACTTCTCACTTTCTCTTTCTCTGTCTCTCAGGCAAGCACGCACACCGTATGGTAAAAACCTAAAAAAATGAAACTTCTCTAAGAGTTATGTAGATGCAGAGCCTGTCATCTGAGTGAGATGTGTCCATGTTCTGTGTTCCTGTGGTGTCCCAGGACTATTAAGCATTACCCCACCAAGTAACTAAGTAACTATAATATAAATGCTTGGCCACAACCTGGGACCAGTTTTTCCTTCCCAAATGGACACAGGAAGACAAAATGGCAGTATACTTTACTTACAAAGTATTTTGGTCCTCACAGACCATCTGCTACTTTGGTGGTTAATGTCTGAGCAGTTAATCTTACTGAGGGTGGGGGCACAGGAAGCATGTGGCAGCTTGCATGGCCAGCCATAACATGACAGAACCGCAGACTGGGGGCTTAAACAAAAGAAATACATTTTCTCACAGTTCTGGAGGCTGGAAGTCCAAGGTCATGTCTGCAGGGTCTGTTTTTTCTTTTCTTTCCTTTTCCTTTCCCTTTCCCTTTCCCTTCCCCTTCCCCTTTTTTCTTCTCTTCTCTTCTCTTCTCTTCTCTTCTCTTCTCTTCTCTTCTCTTCTCTTCTCTTCTCTTCTCTTCTTTCTCTTAAAAGAATTATTGTATTTAACTTTACTTATTTATTTTAATTTGACCAGAGAGGGATAGAGCATGAGTGACAGAGAGAGAGAGAGAGGGAAAGTGAGTAGGCAAGTTGCCAGGTATGGGACTCAAACCAGTCAGCCATGTGGGAATCTAGTGCCCTTAATCACCATAGCACCTGCTGACCCCAAGGGTCTGTTTTCTCTAAGGCCTCTGTCCTTGACTGTGTTTTCTGTGTTCTCACATGGTCTTCCCTCTGTGCATGTCTGGGTCCTAATATCTTCTAGCAAGGACATCAGTTGTACTGGATTAGGTCACACTAGTGACTTGTGTTTTAGTTTGTGATAGGTTACATGCTCTTGCTGGTGAGGGGGCAGGGAGAATGGGGAAGCAACCATGCACAGTGCATTCTTCTCTCGGGATTTTGGGTACACACACGCACGCACATCTGCCCGGTATGTTTCTCAAGCTTCCAGGTCCAGGACTCAAACTGCAGCTGCCATATGGGGTGCAGCCACCTTAACCACCACCCCACTGACTAATTTTCACTTAATTACCTCTTTAAAGACTCTATCTTCAAATGCAGTCACATCCTGAGACACTTAGGGCCTCGATATGTGAATCTGCGGGAACACGGTTGCGGCCTGTAACACACAGATTATGCTAGGAGTTCTTTTCCTTCAGAGAGAGAATGGTCCTGGGACTGCTAAATGTCCGCCTGTGACCGTGTCCATCCCATGCCCTTCCAGGTGAGCCTGCCCACGGCAGAGATCGACTGCAGCTTGGCAGAGTACGTCGACATGATCTGTGGTAAGTGCCTTCGTCCCTTCTTAACCCCATCTCTGGACAGCTACATCCCAAGCTCTGGAGAAGGCTCGTTTACTCAGGGAAGACAGCACCGTAGGTCACAGTCCTCACTTTAAGCTAGTGGTGACGTTCAGCAGCGCCTGGGTGGTATCGGGCCTTCTGTGACTGCTGGCTGGGCGTTTATGCTCGAGTCACAGTCACACCTCCACCCAGGAGGGGATTCCCAGTGTGGGTCTTCGTTTCAGCCATCCTAGACATCCCTGTCTACAAGAGTCGGATTCAGTCCCTCCACCTGCTCTTCTCCCTCTACTCGGAATTCAAGAACTCACAGGTGAGATGAGCCCTGGGACTGACCTGTGGTAGCTGAAGTCACCGGCCCCCACCACTCAGAGTCTGCCGTGATTGCTCCTCCGGCAACGGAGGGTGCCTCTGCTCTGGCTGGAGTCACGTCCACCTCCTGTAGTCAGGCCAGCTCTCACGGGAAGGGGAAAGGCCAGGAGACGTGGCCCTCCACAGAGCCAGGCAAGGACTGAGAGAGAACACTCGTCCTCACAGGAGGACCATGTGGCCTAGTAAATACGAGCAGGAAGGAGGTGGTTCAATTTGAAGGAGGTGAGGCAAATATCTAGCGGTTTTTCAAAGACAGCATCAGGTAACTTTCTGGAAGCAGAACTGAGAGAGTGAGAACTTGACGCTTGTTAAAGAGGTAGTTCTGAGGACCAGTAGATGGCATAAAGGCTATGTCACTGGACTCTCATGTAGTCGACCATGCATGGTTCAAGTCCCGGACCTGATGGCTTAAACTAACACCGAGCACGTGTGCGGGTGTGCCCAAGATCCAGAGAGGAGGATGGAGGAGAAGGGATTGTGGCGTGGCCATCTCCCCTGGGGGGGTGATTTTTCTCTTTCTGTCTCTCTATCACCCTCTGTCTCTCCATAGCGTATCTCAGATACCCATCTGCTCTTCTCTTCCCCCAGCATTTTAAAGCTCTCGCTGAAGGCAAGAAAGCATTCACCCCTCCTTCCAGCTCCGCCTCCCAAGCTGGAGATGCAGCAGAGACGCTAACCTTCAGCTGAGACACCTTCCAAGCCACTCTGCTGTGAGGCTGGGCTGGCTTCTGTCCCCCACTGGGACGGAGAGCATCATCAGCCACCTGATCCTCACTGCACCATCGCACTCAGCGCTTGGCACATCCTTCTCCCCTCTGTCCCAGGGCTGCTTGTTAAAGGGTTCTGACTATCTCAGCTTGCCTTGCGAGGGGTCGGCCACCCACGCCTCCCGCAGGGATTTGGTAGAACTAGAATTTCTGAGATTCCATGGAGCTCAGGTTGGGAGGAAAGCTTCAAAGACATTCTTTCTCTTTTTAGTTTTTACCAAAAAACCCCCCACAAAACCTAAAATAAATAAGTAAATTAAATAAAGATCTGAAGTAAATTTGGTAAAATGTTAAGATTCAATAGAGGGAGGGGCCAGCAGATGGCATGGTTGTTAAGGATGCTGGACTCCCACTGGGCTGATCGCAGTTCGACCCCTGGATCTGATGGCTTGCTTTCTCACTTCCTCTGTCTTTCTCCCTCTCTCTCTCTCCGGTGAGCACAAAATACAAAAGACTTAGCAGAGCTGAGTGGTAGGTACACAGATGCTTGCTGTATTTTCTCTACTCTGATGTTTAAATATGTCATTTATAAAACTATTTGAGGGCCAGCAAATGGCGTAGTGGTTAAAGTCTCTCAGAAATTTAAAGACCATTTACTCCAATATTTCATTACAAACCTTAAACTATGATTGGCTAGAGTTAGAACGAAGGTTTAAACCTTTGATTCATAATGTATTCTGATCTTTGGCTCGCTTATTTTATTTTACTGTTTTATTGTTTGGTTTTAATAAATAAGCATCTATTATTCTTCTGCCATCCTGAAGAATGAGAAAATTATCAATAAATGACATTTCCCTATGTGCTCTTCTTCCAGCCCAACCCTTTGCTCCCCCATAACCAGGATAACTTTTGTATTTATTATTCCCTATTTATAGATTGTTTATATCATAAATACACATATTAAAAAAATTTGTCTTACTTTCAGCTATTTTCTAATTGTGTGAAGGGGCTTCCAAATGATTGTAGAAAAAATGAAATGAAAGTTTATTTTGGTAACCAAAATCTTTTAAATTCATGCACAATTTTTTCATAATTCCTTTTTCTATGAATTTTTTTGAAGAGCCCCTGTATGTAATCTTCAAGTACTTTCTTTATTGACATACCATTTATATAGATTATATTTTACATCCCCTATATCTCACGGGTCTATTCTATGGCTTTATGGGCTTTCTAGACTCTTGTTAACTTATCTACCCTTATACATATATGACACATTCTTAATTATAATCACTTTAGTATTGACACATGATAGTGTAAATTCCATCTTCAATACATTGTTGATTAGAACGATGAACGTGGACAGCCTTATTTATTTATTCTTGATTGTCAATACTTCTAATAGCTCCTCAGTTGGAATAATAGCTTTGGTATTTCTTTTGATAATTATATCAGGTTATAGAAATTCATTTCTATTTCTTTCTGTTTTTTTTTTTTTTTTTTTTTTAGCATGCATGTGTATTGAAATGTACTAAATGATTTTTCTGCCCATTGAGTGGTTTGTTCTTGAATCTCTCAATGTGAAAAGTATATATATGGGTTTTGATGTTGAACCACCTTTACATTCTTGGGATAAGCCCATAAAGTTAATTGATTTGGGTGAGCTAATTCTTATGTAGGATATTTGCATATATGCAAATGAACCTTAAATTTTTCTTTCTTTTTCCATATTTGTCTGATTGTACTCCATGTGTTATTACTAATTTTTATACAATGAGTTAGAGTAAGTCCTCTTTTTTTCAGTTTTCTCAGTTTGTATAACATAATAATGACTTATTTCATCAAAGTTTAGTAGTGCACCTGAGAAATCATACGAACCTTGTATTTTCTTTTTAAAAAGTTCTTAATTACTTCTTCAATCTTTTTAATAGTTTTTTTTTTTTTTTAAAGGTTTTTGCCATAGGGTGGATGCACTCTCTAGAGAGACAGAGACAGGGAAAGTGAGAAAGCACCCCCCAGGGGGATGACTATTCCACAATCCCTTCTTCACCAGTCTTCTGCTGGAATTTTGCACACACACACACACACACACACACACACACACTCATCTAGCATGATTCTCAAGTCACTGGGTCTGGGACTCGAACTGTGGTCGACAATTTGGGAGTCCAGCACCTTAACCGCTATACCACCTGCTAGCCTCACCCTTTAATAGTTTTATGACTGTTGGGACCAGCAGTTAGTGTAATGGCTATGTCGCTGGACTCCCACGTAGTCGACCACGGTTCGAGTCCTGGACCGGTGGCTTAAACTCATGCTGGGTGTGTGTGTGTGCGTGCCCAAGATCCTGAGAGGAGAATGGAGGAGAAGGGATTGTGGCATGGCCATCCCCCCTGGGGGGTGATTTCTCGCTTTCTGTCTCTCTGTATCTCTCTATCTGTCTGGCGAGCGCACATACCCTATAGCAAAAATCTCTAAAAAAAAATAGTTTTATGACTGTCAAGGTCTATTTATTTTTCCTTCAGTCAATTGTGATAAAAATGTAATTTGTACAATTTTTTTTCAGTTTTAAAATGAGATGCATATCTCTTTATTCACCCTTAGTATAGCACTACTTTGTTTTCTGTCCATTGATGAGTCCCACCAGGGATTTGCCTATTCAAAGAACCAATCTTGATTTTATTAATAATATCTTCTCTTGGGGACCAGCAGTTAGCATAATGGCTATGTAGCTGGACTCCCACGTAGTCCACTGTGGGTTCGCGTCTCGGACCCGGTGGCTTAAAACTCACGCCGGGCGCGTGTGCGTGCGTGCCCAGGATCCCGAGAGGAGAATGGAGGAGAAGGGATTGCGGTGTGGCCATCCCCCCTGGGGGGTGATTTCTTGCTTTCTGTCTTTCTGTCTCTCTTTGTCTGTCTGACAAACGCATGCACCCTGTGGCAAAAACCTCTCCCCCCGCAAAAAAAAAATCTTCTCTTTTTCATTTTACTGATTGCTGCTTTAATTTCAACTGCTTTGTTCTTCGACATATTTTATTTTTTTAGTTTTTCTTAAACCTTTATAATTGCCAACTTTTCTTCCTTTATAAGTGACCATTTAAGTCTATAAGTCACTCATAGAGAGACCAGCAGATGGCATAATAATTATGTTGCTGGATGTAGTCCATGTAGTCGACTGCGGTTTGAATCTTGGGCCCAGCATCTTAAAACTCATGTCCGGCACATTTGCGTGCCCGCCCAAAATCCCAAGAGGAGAATAGAGAAGGGATTACAGCGTGGCCATCTTCCCTGGAGAGTGATTTCTCACTTTCTGTTTCTCTCTGTGTCTTTGGCAAGTGCATACACCCTACATCAAAAATCTCTTTCTCAAAAGAAAAAAAAAGTCACTCATAAAATCGCTTTGCTATAGCCCTCAGATGTTGACATGTTCTATATGGTTCTACTCTTCAGTCCTACTGTTTTCTGTTTTCCCCATTTGGAAGGGTATTATTTAATTCCCAAACATATGTATATCTTGAACATACCATTTTATTATTAACTAATTATGGCTGGGGTGAGTTCTGAGAACATGATCTCTGAGAGATATCTCCTGAGCTGTCTCCTGAGAGGAGAATGGAGGAGAAGGGATTGCAGTGTGGACATCCTCCTGGGGGAGGGGTGATTTCTCACTTTCTGTCTCTGTTTTTCTCTGTCAATCTAGCACATGCCCTGTAACAAAAACCTCTTTAAAAATTTATATTTATACGTATTTTAAATACAATAAATATTCTATATAATAATATGTGGTATATTTAAAGTATATATAAATTATATGTATAGGTACATTACAAACATACATGGTATTTATATACCTTCCCTGCATATTTAATTGGTATCATTTTCAAAAAATAGGACTGAAATAGGTATAGGAGAACTGACACATTAACATCAGTTCCTAACAATGTAACAGACAGTGGAGCCCCTAAGTATGCATACGTATTTTCCTGAAATCCCATTGCCTGATACCTCAAGTATGCACCAGCAGGTTATGCTTCAAGAAACCCAGCAAAAGACAGTATCTGACTGACAAATTGAGAAGAGTTCAGCTAATATTCCTGACAAAAGAAAGAAACTTTGGAGCTTGAACTCTGCAAATTAAAGAGGATGGTCAACAACTTGGATGGTCAACTGAAACTCAGCCTGGTCATAACATGGTAAAAGCTGTCTTAAGACGAAGGAGTTGCTCTAAAAATAAGGTTTACAAAGCCAAAACAGACCAGCCCTTAAAAAGTGTGAAAACAAATCTCTATGGGTATGAGGTAGTCAGTCAATAAATCTTCCTGATGCCACAAACAGAAATGCTATTTGGAGAAATATATAGAATCCAGTGTCTCTATTAATATATTCTTACATACAATAACAGAAATAAAACTCACTAAATTTGCAAAAAATGTGACCAGTGATCTATAGAAACAGATTCCTACATGATCTAAACACTAAACCTAGCAATAACTCTAATACAGATACTACAAATATGTTTTTTAAAAAAATTTATTTATTTATTTTTTTATGTTTTTGTACAGAGCACATGTGCTTACCACACAGAGAGAGGGAGAGGAAATGTGAGAAATCACATACCTGCCACCTCCACCCCCAATGAATGGCCATGCTGCAATCTCTTCTCCTCCATTCTCCTCTCGGGATTTTGGGCACACACGGACATAAACCTGGTGTGATTTTCAAGTTGCTGGGTCTGGGACTCAAACTGTGGAGTCAGCCATGTGAGATCCAGCACCTTAACCTCAGTGCAACCTACTGGTCCTAAATATGATATTTTAATATAAAAAATGTATACTCATAATGAACAGATGGGGAATCTTTGGAGAGAAATGCAAACATTAAAAAGAAAATAACTGGAAACTCAAAACTCTAGAACTGAAAAACAAAATGCCTGGAATAAAAAAGTTATTGGGCAAACTTTGTAGAATGGAATTGCAAGAGAAAGGATCAATGACCTTGAAGACAGATCAATAGAAATTATTCTATTTAATAACATCAATTTTTTCAAGTGTGAATTTAAAAACTACAGAACCTCAGTGATCTCTGGAATAATATTAGCTGAGCATTTGTAATAATGCAAAGTACCACACTATATTAAGTTATGAAATCTTGTTTAAATAACTACATTGCTAAGTACGGCATTCTTATTCCAAGGGATCCGAGGGGATCAAAAATATTTTCAGAGAAAATCCCGGTTTCTCTGCAGTGAAAAAAGAAGCAAAAAGTTCTCTAAGAAATGAAGCCCAGTTGCCCTGGTGTAGCCCTTAGCGTTGGTGGTAAGGATCCTTCAGGCTCTTTACAGGAAAGAACTCAAGTGTGTGTCAGATAGTGAAGCAAAGCAAGTTTACTGAGGGAAAGTGTCAACACAGCCCAGAAACTGAGTGGACTGCTGTGTGGGAGGAGGCCACACTCTTTGGGGGATCTTCTTTATTTTTATTTAAAAAAAATGATTTTAAGAGAGATTTTTGCTATAGGGCATGTGCACTCGCCAGAGAGACAGCGAAAGACAGTGAGAGGGAAAGTGAGAAGTCACCCCTGAAGAGGACTGGCTATGCTGCAATCCTTTCTCCTCCATTCTCCTCACGATTTTGGGCACTGTTTGCAAACATACACGACATGAGTTTCAAACCACCAGATTTGCGACATCAACTGCGTGGGTGTCCAGCGCCTTAACCATTGCATCACCTGCTGGCTTCAGGAACCTTCTTTAAAGGGAGATTTACATATATATTTATTAAAGAGTTGGGTTTGGGGCCAGCAGTTATGTTGGTGTAGCAGTTATGTTGCTGGACTCCCACACTGCTGATTGAGGTACAAGTCCCAGACTAGTGGCTTGAAAGTTGCTTGGTATGTGTATGTGCATGCCCAAGAGGAGGAATAGAGGAGCGATTTCAGCACAGCCCCCTCTCCCTCCCCCCCAGGGGTGGTTTCTCACTCTCCCTCTCACTGTCTCTGTCTCTCTCTGTCCAGTGAGTGTACCTGGCCACTGAGGTTTCCTCTCCTTTTCAGTTTCTTCATCTCTTTCCTTCTCTGGTATGTTTCCTTTGCATAGTCCTACAGCCTAAAATACTTCTATGCACACACATAGACGAAAGGAAGTGTAAGAGACCCTTGGGAAAATACCTTTTCTGCCCACAATCTCTGTTTTACCTTCCACAACCTTCTGTGCCCATCATCTTCCTCCCAAGAGCCCCGTCGCCTTTTCCTCCTTGTGATCAGTTGTCTATCATGTACAAGGATCTTCAAATAAAATGTATGTTATGAAACATGTATGCATAAATT